TGGTGAATTCAGCTCCCTCGTCTTCTCTAATAGGACAGATTTAAAGCCCTACAGCCTGCAGCAAAGGAAGACAACCTTGACCTTACTGAGGAAAGGGAGGATGGAGGGGGGTGGTGAGATCAAGGAGGATGAAGTCAGAATGACACTGCAAAGAGAAACCTGCCGCCACATGACGAAGCTCGCATCCACTTCAAGACCATGGTACTTGCCTACAGAGTAGCAAGGAGAACTGCCCCTCCCTACCTTCAAGCTATGCTCAAGCCCTATATCCCAACCCGAGCACTCCATTCTGCCACCTCTGGTCTGTTGGCCGTCCCACCCCTACGGGAGGTCAGCTCCCGCTCAGCCCAGTCAAAGCTCTTCTCTGTCCTGGCACCCCAATGGTGGAACCAGCTGATGCTAGAACAGTACAGTCCCTTCCCATCTTTTGAAAACGTCTGAAACACTACCTCTTCAAACAGCGGCTTCATGCCCATAGGGGTCACAGGGGCACGTGCCCCCTCAGATTTGTCCTGTTAAAAAAACTAAAATATAAAAATGTTTTGGGGTTGTTGTTTCTCTGTAATACTACCAGCCACCTAGCAATTTTATGAAGTTGGCTTTAGCTAGCCCAGATAGGTTCCCAATCTCTCAACCTCATAACTAGCTACCAGGAAGCCATTTCAGGCTATCAATCAAGTTAGAGTAGCTTGTCTAACTATCTTAGCTGGCATGCCTGCTGGCAAGGTTGGTAGACTTTAGAAAAGCAAGCAATAACTATACTGAATAAGACTCACATTCCTTTCAATCTTTAAAAAAAGAACTATTAGTCAGAAGGATACAGACAGCTCAAGAGGTATGCTTAGATATGCAGAAAATATACATATTTCTTTACATAGAATTAAGCATAATGATTATGGATCTAGATTGCTGTTTCAGGTGTTTGAAACATGACCTAGCTCCCCTCCGGACCATTGAAAAAAAATTGCACTTGTCTTTTCATACTAGCACTAACTTTGCTGATAACTTCTGTATTGAGGAAAGATGTACTTAATACGACTGTGATATGTGGTTGTCTCACCTAGCTATCTTAAAGATGAATGCACCAACTGTATGTCGCTCTGGATAAGAGTGTCCGCTAAATGACTCACATGTATATGTAAACATGACATCAACAAATAGAGGAAAATAGCAGCTCTAGCTGGTTGTAATGTAGGACAGTGACTGAGAGAGAGTCTCTGATTTATTTTGCCTGTGAGTTGGTTGTGAGCAATTCAAACCAGTGCTGACTGGCTGGCTGTAAGGATTGGAACTGTAAGGGGCATATCTGATATCCTCTGACTGAGCAGCCTGCTCCTTTGTGGTGGTGGGAGGAAACAGGTGCCTTATCCAAAGTCCAGGAAGAAAGCCACATACAGTAAACATCATACAGTGAAGCCACTCTTCACACACACAGAAACACACACAGGCTTCTTCCTCAGGAGACAATGGATCAGATCCACCTTATTAATCAGGAACATTGACAGGGAGGGTCTTTCAACTGCAGACAGACATGTTTTCCCTCAGCTGTGTCTGTCATTCCATCTGGTCTGTCCGTAGGCTAAAACCACTCCAAGGGGTGATGAGATGAGATAACTCCATACAGCTCTGATTCCTCGTAAAACACAAACACACACTCCTCTTCTTCACTGTCTCCAAAATAACTGGAGTCATTCCTCAGCCTAGACTCCAAGCCTGAGCCTCCCCTCCCAGTCCCTGTGTGAGCTCCAAGACTGTTTCTGTTTTGTCTCCTGATCTCTCAACTCAAATAGAATAATTCAATTGAAAACAAACGTCAACATAGCTGAGTCCCTAGGGCCCCTCTGTGTTGCATGGCTGCTGGGTAAAGGGAAGAGAAAGGAAGAAAAGGGAAAGCAGGAAAGGAATGGGGGGATGAATGTTTTGGCCCTATCCTTTCCTCCCCCTCTCCCCCCAGGGCAGTGTGTAGTTATAAATGTCCTCTATAAATCTACCCCTCCCTCACAACATCCCCTTACCCTCCTCTCCTCCCCCCATTCCCTCCTCCAATCTTCTCCTCTCCTCCCTCCTTCACCCTCAGCTTTCTTTCTTTCTTCTTTCTTTCTTTCTTTTTCTTTCTTTCTTTCTTTCTTTCTTTCTTTCTTTCTTGCTCTATCATGGATTATAGGAGGTGTGTGTGTGTGTGTGTGTGTGCGCGTGCCTGCGTGTGTGCATGCGTGTGTGCGTGCCTGCGTGTGTAGGTTAGTCAAGGCAGAGCAGACCACAATAGATTTGCATATAGGGTTACACACTGCCTAGTTGTTTTTACATACACAGCTTCATTGTGGCTGCCTGTGATGTGTCTGACCATGGTGAGATCACTATGGTATTAGGTTATAGGCCTATAGCCTACCTATCTGTAAATAACCTAATGGAATGAAGAGAGAAGATTACAAAATATCGAAATATTATTAGCCTATTCCCAGATATGTTTGTGCTGTCTTGCCAACTCCTATGGTCACTGTATGCCCAGGCTACAATATTATAGCCTACCCCCACTGATGGAGCCCTACAATATATACAGTATGTAGCCTAAATCTATGATGCAAATAAAGATTTTAAACACTACAACTGCACTGAATAGACGGTAGAACAGTGTATGCCTTTTCTCATGCTATAACTTCCAATGAGACTTCCTGTTCAATCATCAGGGAGCAGTCAGTGAATTTCAAATAACAGACCAGGTTTTCATTGTAAACTGAGCCAAGGCTGTAGGCTGCATTACATGTGACTGTGCTGTGTGTGTGTGTGTCTGGCTGTGGTTGAGCGAGGTAGGTAAGGGTTAAACTAATCCTGGCTGCCTTAACAGAATCCACAGGAAAGTCCATTGTTCAACAGGCCGACAATTAAGGGTAAATTAATGACACTGTGTGTGTGTGTGTGTGTGTGTGTGTGTGTGTGTGTGTGTGTGTGTGTGTGTGTGTGTGTGTGTGTGTGTGTGAGAGATAGGATGATAGCAGAAGGGAGCCTGAGGATACTATGTAGGGAGAGATACTTCAACTATTTGCACATTGTTAAAACATTGCCAATAATATAACACTTAAAATGTCTATATTCTTTTAAAGATGTTGGGAGTATAATGTTTACTGTTCATTTTGTATTGTTTATTTCCCTTTTGTTTATTTCACTTGCTTTGGCAATGTAAACATATGTTTCCCATGCCAAAAAAGCCCTTTGAATTGAATTGAGAGAGAGAGAGAGAGAGAGAGAGAGAGAGAGAGAGAGAGAGAGAGAGAGAGAGAGAGAGAGAGAGAGAGAGAGAGAGAGAGAGAGGGACAGGGAGAGAGGAGGGGGGAAGAGGGGGGAGAGAGAGCATCACAAAGTAAACAAGTTTAGACTATCTGCCTAGAAGAGCTTGAGGAAAGTGTGGTTGAGGAAGTTTATTTTATTTTATTTATTTAACCTTTATTTAACTAGGCAAGTCAGTTAAGAACAAATTCTTATTTACAATGACAGCCTACCAAAAAGTTTAGGACACCTGCAAACTAGACAACCCAACTTGAAATAAAGTAGGCCTAGGAAAGTAATACAATGTACAGTACGTGGTTTATTATAATACAGTAACATGGGATGGGATAGTAGGCTGCACTATGTCTCCTAGGCTACAAAACTTGCTTGAACAAAAACTTGACATGCAGAAAACCTTCAACTTTTAACAAACAAAAGCCAATAGGCTGTGCCGACCATTGACAAGCCTAAGCTACTTGATGGATTGAAGGGTTTAGGCTCATGACTCATAACACTTACATTGGAAAATGTATTCACAAGTGTTTCTGGAAGTGCAAATCTGCATGTTGGAATAGGAAATAGTTTAGTTAGCATTTTTCTTACCTGGATGATTCCAATATCTTCAATGTAACATTGTGCTGTATCTTCATACTGCTGACTGGGTAGGTAACAACACATCTGCTGATCCTCAACATAGGGGCCCCTCAGGGGTGCATGCTCAGTCCCCTCCTGTACTCCCTGCTCACCCATGACTGCATGGCCAAGCATGACTCTAACACCATCATTAAGTTTGCAGACGACACAACAGTGGTAGGCCTGATCACCGACAATGATGAGACAACCTATAGGGAGGAGGTCAGAGACCTGGCCATGTGGATAACAACCTCTCCCTCAACGTGATCAAGACAAAGGAGATGATTGTGGACTACAGGAAAAGGAGGACCAAGCACGCCCCCATTCTCATCGACAGGGCTGTAGTGGAGCAGGTTGAGAGCTTCAAGTTCCTTGGTGTCCACATTACCAACAAACTATCATGGTCCAAACACACCAAGACAGTCGTGAAGAGGGCACAACAAAGCCTATTCCCCCTCAGGAGACTGAACCAGGCAGTGTCAGAGGAAGGCCCTAAAAATTGCCAAAGACTCCAGCCACTCTAGTCATAGATAATACTCTCTGTTTATTATCTATGCATAGTCACTTTACCTCTACCCAAATGTACATATTATCTCAATTACTTCGACTAACCTGTGCCCCCACACATTGACTCTGTACCGGTACCCCCTGAATATAGCCTCGCTACTGTTATTTTACTGCTGCTCTTCAATTATTTGTTATTTTTCAATTTTTCTTCTTTTATTTTATTTTTACCTATCTATTTTTGACTTAACACTTATTTTTCTTAAAACTGCATTGTTGGTTAAGGGCTTGTAAGTAAACATTTAACTGTAAGGTCTACACCTGTTGTATTCGGCGCATGTGACACATTTATTTTATTTGAACAAGATGAGAGGGGAAAGCATAAAGCATTACAGTTTGTTTTGAAAACTTGGAGAAAAGTATTCTTTGTGTTTCAAAGTCAATGCAACATGTTAATGTGCGCTGAGAGGATGCTTGCAACTGGTGCAAGTGTGTCCGCCCCCCCCCCAAAGGTTGGTGCAAGTGTGTCCGCCCCCCCCCCAAAGGTTGGTGCAAGTGTGTCCGCCCCCCCCCCCCCCCCCCCCCCCCCCAAAGGTTGGCTCTAAGAAACGCCCCGTCACTACAAGCTCCTCCTGCACACGATTATAAAGCAAATGCACGGAGCTGGTGTTCTATTAGATAGGGCAAAAAAAGTTGACAAAACAGAACTCACCATCCTGTGTAACTTAAATTTAAAAACATACATTTTTACTACTTTTGGATTTTATTTTCTACGCAGCCAAGATGACCACGGCAGTGGTTTCGCCATTCGACTTCAGCGAAGTAATGAACAAGGTAACTTTAGCTACAAAAAGTTCTCTACTCGCCTTTCTCTAGCCTAGCCAACGTATGGAGGCACGTCAGTGCTGGAATTCGAAATTTCAGTAGGCTAGTTTTGTGTTTAATTTGAAATGTTTACGCTATTGTTCTGATGCATATTTATAAAAGGGATCCAGTAACATTTAGATAAGATCGCTATAACGAGAAACTGTAACTAGTTTGCTAATTTAGCTTGCAAACTAACTTTACCGGAGAGTGAGTTCCATGATGTGCGTTCGGGCCCAGCGCAGTGCTAGCCTCTGATGTATAATGTCTCGTGTTGTTGTGATTTTTACTTTGTTGACTGTCGTTCGTTTCCTTGTTTGATTGATAATATCCCGTCATAAAAGAATGAGTCAGACAGGATTAAATGGACTGATATAATGGGAATCTTGCTGGTCTGCTACTTTTGCTCTAGTAAATTCAATGGCAACAGTTGACCTAACGATCGAAACTTATTTTATAATGTGCAGTTGGATCAATTAGATCTTTTCGCTGACCAACACTTAATTCAAATCCAAGTAAGATGCTAGAATTGGAGCGTAATTTACATGAACCAGATTTATATTTGCCATGATGTTGCATTCATTCAATCAAGTTTCAATAAGGCTCGTGCCTGAAACAAAATTTTGAAACGTATAGCCTAATGATTCTGATTGACTTCAGATGAGCAGTGATTTGATTGAAACGTGTAGACTACTGGTGGCACGTCGAATATAGGATTATTATTTTTTACCTTGCAGTATGTATATATCCTGTATGAAATGCATTGATTGTTGTACTGTATTTATTTTTAACTTCTGAACTTTCCGTTTTAAAGTTAAATTGATATTATTGGTTATTGTACATAAAAGGGTCCACGTAAAGTTAGCTATATATGAACCTTGTGTGAGGCAAAACATGCCTTCTTCTTCCATCAATCACCTAGCCGTGAATATCTAGGCCTGATGTGAAAGTGTTCTTTGAAGATAACTTCCTTACTAGCCTAGTATGCCTTCCCTTTTGAGTGTCTTCACACTACGTTTTTATTTCACTTATTCGTTTCAAATTAAAAAAGATGCAGCAGCTCCTTTGCAACCAGGACCAGATCGCTCTCACGCGCTCCTTCTTTTGCGCCATTTACTTTGCAGGCACACATTCCTCAGTAGGGCAACTTGCCAAACCAGCTGTTGTTCTGTTCTATAGGTCTGCATCAGCCTGAGGATTTAATGCGAAACGAACATCAATGGTCATTCAGGGATTTCTTTATAAATGTTTTCCCTCCCTTTATGAAATGTAAAGCCTTTGACAATAGCAGCACTCTTTCTTGTGATCTTTCCATGATTTTTTTGTAAATAAATAGTTGGTTTTGTATTGACTTTAGATCTAATATTTCATATTTTGTCTCTTTCCAGAACAACAAGATGCTGAACTACAACAACAACATACTGAGCTCCCCCCATCATGCGATGTCCACCAACATGTCCATGTCCACCGGAGCCCTGCTGGACAGGAAGGCTGTGGGGACCCCCTCGCTGGGCAGAGGGGTGTCGGTGTACCACTCCGTCACCCTTCCCAGCTCCAAGTTCCACCAGAACCAGTTCCTCAACAGCCTGAAGATATCAGACCCCTCCTCCTGCTCCATCACCTCAGGGTTAATCAGTGGCAGCAACAAGGAGAACCGCATGAGAGACCGCTCCTTCTCTGAGACGGGCGAGAGGCTCCTACAGAAGTGCCTGGGGCCAGCTAGTCCTACCAGCCTGGGATGCCAGAGCCAGCAGCAGAGCCAGGTCAACTCCAGCCGCTACAAGACGGAGCTGTGCCGTCCGTTCGAGGAGAACGGAGCCTGCAAGTACGGCGACAAGTGTCAGTTCGCCCATGGCATCCATGAGCTGCGTTCTCTCAGCCGCCACCCTAAATACAAAACCGAGCTGTGTCGCACCTTCCACACCATCGGATTCTGCCCCTACGGTCCCCGCTGTCACTTCATCCACAATGCAGAGGAGCGCCGTGGACCCCCTCCCGGATCCTCCTCCCCCTCCTCCTTCTCCCTGCTCTCCTCCTCCAATAAGCTGGAGCGTCCCCGTCTGCAGCACAGTTACAGCTTCGCAGGGTTCCCCAGCTCCGGGGGTCTGAGAGGAGAGGACAGCCCCACCTCTGTCACCCCTACACCCATGTTCTCCCCAGACGAGATGCCTGAGTGGTCAAGCTGCAACCCCTTCACATACTCCAGCCAGGAGCTGGCCGACCTGTTCGGCCCCAGCCTGGGATCCAGCGGCCCCACGGGGACCGAACCCAACACCCCTGCACCACTGTCTCCGACCAACACCCCCTACTTCTTCCGGCCCATGTCAGATTCCCCCACTCAAATGTTTGAGTCTCCGTCCAGCCCACCGCAGGACTCTCTGTCAGACCAGGAGGGGTATCAGAGCAGCTCAGGGGGCAGTCTCAGCGGGTCAGAGTCCCCCAGCCTGGACGCCAACAGACGCCTCCCCATCTTCAGCCGCCTCTCTGTCTCTGACGACTAGACTGCACCTATTTAATGTATGTTATCCGACGCCTCCCAGAAAGAGAAAATGAATGGAAAATGGCACTCCCTTCTACCACGTTCCCCTGCCCCCTTTCCTCCACAAAACAATATCAATATAGTTCCTAGTTTGAATTATATATATGAATACAGTGACTTATTAAGGGAACTTGTTTTCAAATCACCCCAGAAATCTCTTCCCTGCTGTTGTTTACTCCCCTTCCCTCATAGAATCTACCCTGTCTTCTGTCATAGTGCCAAAACAGGAGAGGAAATGAATGAACAATGAGAATGATGGTGCGAGAAGGTGTTGTTTTGCCAGGTGTCACCTGTCTTTCTGTTCTTGAACACTTAGCAGTGCTAGTGGGCCTTTGGCACAGGGAGTGTATCATCGCACCACACACCCCACTCTTCCACCACCATCCTCTGACGTTACCACTTCTCAAGTGCACTTCCCCGGTCTACGCTGAGCTAGCTGGAGGGTGCTCCTTAACACACCCTGTCCTCAGATCAACCACAGCTGTTTTTACTGTAGACTTTGAGCAAAAAAAATACATAAACTGAAATGATATGAATAGTTTAAGTTTTAAAACAAAGTGCCTGGGGCAGTTGGTTTGTGCATAGCATGTGTGAGAGTTGATTGGATGGATGGCCTACTGTCTGAGTGTTTTTGATTCTTTCAACGTTGTCACATCATAGTTCTTCTCAAGCATTCTTTGTTGACTCTCATTTTATGTAATAGCGGAGCAGGACAGGGTCTGCATGCAGGAAGTGACTTTGACAGACACAGGAAGCTAGTTTTCTTTTGTTCCCTCTGTTTTCTCCTGTTGCTGGTCACTGGCAGTTGTGTTTCTGGGAAGGAAGGACGAGGTTTGTCTTTAATGTCTAACTGGTTATTAAACCTTGAAGACTATTTGGTTTCTGTCCCTCCTCTCTAGTCCGCCTCCCTCCATGCTGTTCTGCAGGCAGCGGGGAATTCCAGCATTCCCATGGTGCAGTTCTTCTACTTCCTGCAACTTGAGATGGGATCTCTAAGCTATATTATTGTTCCTCTTCCCCTATAGAATCTGGCTCTGAGGAGCAGCTGTTATGACATCTCCCCTATAGAATCTGGCTCTGAGGAGCAGCTGTTATGACATCTCCCCTATAGAATCTGGCTCTGAGGAGCAGCTGTTATGACATCTCCCCTATAGAATCTGGCTCTGAGGAGCAGCTGTTATGACATCTCCCTGCTTCTTTCTATTGTTTTTGATTTATCATTTTTTATTGTTATTATAGTTATTGTTTGTTTTAAAACTTTCCAAGCATTGGTGCTTGTCACTGCTTATTTAACTTATCGAAACATATTTATTGGTGATCATATGCATTTTTAGTTTTTTTGTTAATTTTGTATTTATCTGGATAATGAACAATAGAATATATTTTCTTTTTATGTTAAATTATGATCTTCGGTATTAATCTAAAGATTGTGAAGACGTTTTGTGAATTTCCTTTTTTTCACAGTTTAATATATTGTACTACAATGACTGCAACAATATTTGCAACTACACTTTGTCAAAATAAAACTTAATTTAAAGCAAAACAAAATACAGGACAAAAGTTTAGCGTTTTGATTATTTATTTGTAGACTTTTAAAAAATCTGTTCTCCCCATTATTGGACTGCAATTCTAGCAAAATAATAACTGTTGTATTATCATCCCAGAACTGTCCTATCCTCCTTCACTCTTTAGAATGTTTTCTCTGACAGTAACAGTACTTTACTGTTACTACCTTGTTCACTCAATTCAGCTGTTGTATTCCTTTTGATCTGCTTGGTTCCATATGGAGACCAAACAGGATTCTCTTTCATAATTATCTTGTATCTAAAACCAAGAGGTGCAACACATGATGAGGATCACCATGTTCACTCTCACATCCTGATTAAGTGTAGGAAGTGTTGGGTTTAAAGGAAGGTTATGTCTGAATGTTATGTAATACAGTCAACCAAGGATTTAGAGGAAAAATACTGTTTATATTACAAGCAATAGCGGTGACCAAATGGGTTGAGGAGACATCTGTGTTTTTGATTGGATGTTTGATTCACTTGCATGGTCCCCAACTGTTATAAAGTGCCTACTTTTGAATCCATTCCAGGTAGCTAACTAAGGACTTTTATATTAAATGATGGAAGATGGTGAAATTATGTTTGAATTCCTTGTGCCATGTTTCCTTAAAGTTTTGAGCAAGGTTAAACAGGATTATTGACACAAAGTAAAACTGTTGAATGTATTTTTCCAGCCATGGGTTTTCACTACAGTCATTTCTGAGTTTATATTAAAAGCTGATTTATCTTTTTGTAACTATTGATTGCAGTTAAAGCCAATAAACCCTGTATTTTTGAAACAATTGTCATGTATTCATTCATCCACCCATTAGTGAACTGGCTAGAAGATTTCTTGAGGTGTGATTGTCTTCTCTGTCAGGCTTAGTCAAGCATGACATTTAACAGAGCTCTTACACAATGTTTACCTTGCTGCACCAATAGACTTCGATGCAATGTCAAACTTTGTTGTTGAAGGGAAAACTACAACTTATGAAAGAGATTCCTGTTGCAGCACGTCCCATAACAAAATGTCACACAGACAGCTTATCTTTTGGTGACAGATGTGGACACTGATTTAACTCAACCTTACCAAGCACATTTTACATTTTAATACATGCTGAATACCAATAAATGGGTGAAAACGGTATCGTTTATTGATTAAATTAATTAAACATTACATGGCATAGGAAGAGATCCATGGGTACCCTATGTGGGGTGGAGGGAGTTTCAATAAGCCAGCTGATGATTGGTGGACAGGAGAGAGAGCAGATTGGTGGACAGGCGAGGGGAGCAGCCTGATTATTGGTGGACTAGACAGACCTGTTAGGGGATGACCCAGGGTGATCAAACTCTGAATGAGCTGGTTTGATTACACAGACTGATACCATGCTCTGTTTACCTGCAAATGTTGACCAGGTCAATAAGGTTATGAGAGGCTGATATGGAGGGCCAGTCAGTCTGTGAGAAGAAACATAGTCAGAGATGGGTGTAGTGACTATGGTTAGGGTCATGTTCAGTAGGGCACAAAAATGTTATGAAATCCAAAATGAAAATGAGCAGTTCTTATTGGACTACAGATAGTTGGCCTATATACCTGCTTGATTCATCCCGCGTAAAAACATTTTCTCCTGTTTCATCACTACTGGACTACTTTATTTGATCTGATATACACCAGGCAGACATTTACCTCTGCCCTCAGTTTTGTATCGGATGACAGAAGTCCAGAGAAAATCTGGAACTAACTTACCATGCCGAGTGCTGCCCCCAGTCAGTTGGGCCATACGCCACTTCATGTTTCCTCAGTTCAGATTGTTGCTTCTGATGGATTATCTTGTTCCTGTTTGTTGCCCTGAACAGGCCAAGGGAGGCCAGGGGAAAGGGAACTCCTGTTGTGGGCCTGGTACACTTTAGGCCCAGGCCTCTACCCGGCCTACCTCTCCCTCCTCCAAACCATGACAGGTAGACAGATGAGACTGTAGCCTTTACCTCAGTGTTGTAAAGCAACCTGGCCTCAGAGCATTTCGTATTATTCTGTGTGTTAATCCGAGACACTCCATTTATTTAGTATGATATGTTATGTTTCATAAGGTATGTATTAATTTGTGGATGTCCATCATCCATTTCGTATGATATGTTGCGGATTACAATGCATATGATATTACACATTTGTAAAACGTACAATATGTTATGAATTTGCAAAACATATGTTGTATTAAGAATTCCAATTTGTTGTAGCTAACGTTAGCTAGGTGGCTAACATTAGCTAGACTAGGGGTTAGGGTTAAGGTTAGGAGTTAGGTTAAATGGGGAAGGGGTAGCTAACATGCTAAATAGTTGCAAAGTAGCTAAAAAGTAGTATGCCGTTGCAAATTGCTAATTAGCTCAAATGCTATAGTTTTCCATGATGAGATTCGAACACGCAACCTTTGGGTTGTTAGACATTCGTGTTATACCAAATGTAACATATCATACTAATTTGAGTGTCCCGGATTTACATTTACTATGTTAGGTCTAGTCTATGAGACCAGGCTGTGTAAAGAGCTTAGCCCCAAGGAAATGTACAGGTAACTGCTCAAATAAAGGAAACACCCAAATAAAGTGTCTTAATAGGGCGTTGGGCCACCACGAGCCGCCAGAACAGCTTCAATGCACCTTGGCATAGATTCAACAAGTGTCTAACTCCATTGGAGGGATGCGACACCATTCTTCCATGATAAATTCCATCATCTGGTGTTTTGTTGATTGTGGTGGAAAACGCTGTCTCATGCGCCACTCCAAAATCTCCCATAAGTGTTCAATTGGATTGAGATCTTGTGATTTAGACACACACACACACACCCTATGCTCCTTTGAGACCCCTCTTTCAAAGTCACTGAAATTTCTTCTTCAAGCCATAGCAGCCAAAATAATAGGCAACGGAGCATTTTTATAAACATGATGGGATGTTTTAATTGCTTAATTCACTCAGGAACCACACCTGTGTGGAAGCACCTGCTTTCAATATACAGTACTTTGTATACCTCATTTACTCAAGTATTTACTTTATTTTGGCAGTTAACCATAAGAATCCTCAAGAACAGAACAGCAGTTTGAAAAATAAAATTAACGCTCTTAACTTCTCCAAAGAACAAAGTAGTAGAAAACTCTGGGATTATACATGCTCATGACATGTCTTACAATCACAGGAGGCTGGTGTGGACGGCTCATAATAATGGCTGGAATGGGGTGACTGGAATGGTATCAAAACCATGGAAACCATGTGTTTGATGTGTTTGACACCATTACATTCATTCCTTTCCAGCCATTACTATGAGCTCGTCCTCCCCAATTAAAGTCCCACCAGCCGCCTGTACTTACAATACATTCTAACTGCATCATAATGCATTATACCTGCAGGCTTTTGTGACCGAAAACTCTT